TTTCCCCTTGTTTATTAGCTATGACTCTTTGCTATGTTATTTTAGTGGCTCTAGGGTTTGTAGTATCCACCTTTACCTTATCACATCTACCACTTCCTGTAGTAAAAGAACCTACACAGTGCACTTCCCTTTCTGCCCTCTGTCATTTGTGCAGTTATTGTCATACATATTACTTAGATGTGTGTTACAAACCACCCAATATATTGTTATTATTTTTGCTTTAATCAGTTATCTTTTTAAATATTTAAAGTTAGAAATGAAGATTTTACAATTGCCTACATAGTTACAATTTATAGTGTTCTTTTCTGTGTGTAGGTCCAGCGTTTCCACCTGATATCATTTTTCTTCCGCTGGAAGGGCTTCCTTTGGTTCATTTTATAGTGCAGCTCTATGGTGATGATTTCTTTCTTGTTTTCAGCTTTATTGAGATACAATTGACAAAAGTTATACATATTTAAGGTATACAACTTGATGTTTTGATATATGTGTACATTGTAAAATGATTACCACATTCAAGCTAATTAACATGTTCATCGCCTCACATAGTTAGTAGTTTCTTTCTTTCTTCCTTTTTTTTCTTGGTAGTGTTAAGAACACTTAAGATACACCCTCTTAGCAAATTTCATGTATACAGTATTGTTAACTATAATCACCATGCTGTACATCAGATCCCAGACTTAATCATCTTGCATAACTGCACCTTTGTGCCTTAACACCTCCCCACATTCCCACCCCCCAGCTCCTAGCAACCACCATTCTACTCTCTGAATCTATGAGTTTGACTTTTTTAGGTTTCACATGTAAGTGGATCATGCAGTATTTGTCATTCTGTGTCTGGCTAATTCCATTTAGCATAATGTCCTCCAGGCTCATCCATGTTACACAAATGGCAAGATATCCTTATTTTTTAAGACTGAATAATACTTCCTTATGCATATGTGTGTGTGTGTGTTTGTGCACGCACGTGTGTCTGCCTCTGATAAATTCTTTCTGCTCGTGTGTGTCTGAAAACATCTTTTTTATCTTCACTTTTGAAAAATATTTTTGCTTTGTATAGAATTCTAGGCTGCAGGGTTTCTCCCCCTGGTATTCTAAAGATGTTGCCCCACTATCTTGTGGCTTGTGTTATTTCCAACGTGAAATCTTCTGTAATCCTTTTCTTTGTTCCTTTGTACATAATATTTCCTTTTCTCTCTGCTTTAAAGATTTTTCTCTTTATCACCGGTTTTTAGCAATTCACTGGTGTATTCCTGTTTCTTATACTTGGGGTTCTTTGAGCCTCCTGGATCTGCGGGTTTATACTTTCTATCAAATTTGGAAAACTTTTGGTTACTGTTTCTTCAAATATTTTTTCTGTCTCCCATCCTCTCCTCTCATTTAGGTGGTCCCATCGTTTACTGATTTTCTATTTTTTTCAGTATTTTGCTCTTTGTTTGTTTCATTTCGATAGTTCCTACTGGTATGTTTTCAAGTTCACTTGTCTTTTTTCTGCAGTGTATCATCTGCTATTAACACCATTCAGTGTATTTTTCATCTCACGTAATGCAGTTTTTAATCTCTAGAAGCTTGATGTAGGTCTTTCTTTTTTATACAGTTTGTACGTCTCTGTTTAACATGTCTAATACTTCCTCTAGTTTCCTGAGTGGAATAGAGGTATAATAACCGTCTTCATAGCGTGTCTAATAATTCTGTCACCTGTGTCGCTTCTTGCTGCGTTTTAGCGGATTCGTTTCCCTGCTACGTCTTGTGTCTTCCTCTTTCCTTGCCTGTTGGTAATTTTGTGTTGGACGCCAGACATTGTGGATTTTACCTGGTCAGGCACTGAATATGTTTGTATTCTCTAAACTACTCTTGAGGTTTGCTCTGGGTCACAGCTAAGTTCCTTAGAAAGAGATTGATCCTTTTTAAGCTTTATCGGAGGCATCAGAGCAGTGTTTAGTCTGTGATGAATCTTTCCTATTACAGAGGAAAGACCCTTAGTACTCTAAGTACCCTGTGAATTGAGTGAGTTTTTCTGGGGTTTTGTTTGTTTTTTTCACTGTGGGAAACAGAGTGAACAGGAAATAATTGGCAATAGGCATTATTCTCAGCCCTGCGTGAACTCCAAGCACTGTTTCTTTTAATCCTTCCAAGTAGTTCTTTCACTGGCATTCATTCATTTTAAGGTCAGCACTCCGCTGGAGGCTCAGGGGAGGCCCTCTGGAGATGTGTGGCATTTCTCTGTGTAGCTGTCCCCTCTGCATCCCTCTCCGTGCAAACTCTAACAGCCTTTGCTTCTCTGGATTTCTGCCTCTGTCTCCCCAACTTGGGGAGACCACCATACTCCGCCAGTGTCACCCTTCTCTGTGCCACAACCCAGAAACTCTCTCAAGGCAGTAAGAAGGGCACCTTTGTGGCTCACACCATCTGTTTCTCATCGCTCAGGATTTACTGTCTCTCCTTGTTCAAGTTTTAATATCTTCAGAGTCTTTTTTTCATGTTTGTTTGTTTTTTCTATTTTAGTTGTTTCAGGTGGGAGGGTAGATCTGGTTCCTCTTCCATCTTGTCTAGAAGCAGAAGTGGCTTCAAGTGATTTTTCATTTCTTTGTGCTTTGCTCTATTAAGATATTGTCTTTGCCCTAAGCATGTTTCACTCTCATAATTGCATTTGTTAAAGCTTCTCTATTTACAAAGTAAATAAATCTTTGAAAAGACAAATGACCTACTGTGGAAAGACATTTGCAGCAAAAAAAAAAGTTTTTTACCATATAAACGCCTCTTACAAATCCATGAGAAAAAGATAGAAATGATAATAGATTTAGAAATGGCCAGTGAGTGTATTTTTCAAATGGTCCCCCAACTAGTAATCAAAGAATTGTAAACATTATGATCTTGGGTTGAGGACCATCATTCTTCCTTACAGATGCTGGTGCGAGAGTGGGAAGTGGCACCCCCATCCTGTGCTGGTGGGCATGTGTGCACAGTGGCTCAGCCTTTCCTGTGGGCCTGTTGTCAGCATATATCCAGATGCCTAAAAGTGAGCCTACGTTGAGCCACATTTTACTTTATTTATTCATTCTGAAACATAATAAGAATATGGGCAGAGATTTAGGTACAGTGTGTTTCATATTCAGTGTTTATAATGGTGGAAATATTGAAAACCACTTAAAGTCACAGATAGGGATTGATAAGCAAATGCGATACATCTATAGTTTGGCTTTTTGTGTAGTCATAAAAACAGCATTGTGGAAAATTAATATCAAAAATTAATATCATTGTGATATCAAAAGATTTTTATCACATGTAACGTGAACATACAGTGTATGAAACAGCATGCGTTACATGATCCCATCTTTGTTTAAAAAATTGATGCCTATGATTATACTCTATGAATATTGACGTTTCTGAGTGGTGAATTTATGAGTTTTTATTTCCTTATTTACTTATATTTTCAAACTTTCTATTGTACGTATGTACCGCCTTTGTAATAAGAAGAGTGGCGTGATTTTTTGTTATTTAAAATGTTTGTTAAATGCTATAGGCCAGGTATTGGCGAGCTTTTTCCACGAAGAGCCAGATAGTAAATATTTTAGGGTTTTAAGCCAGATGGTCTCTGTCGCAACTGTCCCACTCTGCTGTTTTAGCACAAAAATAACCATAGACAATACATAAGTGAATGAAAGTGGCTGTGTTCCAACAAAACTTGATTTTCAAAAGGACCTGGCAGGCTGCCGGTAGCTGAAGATGCTATAGGCACTTGGGTGTCTAGATTAACTGAAGGCCAGCATCCCTCTGTCCGTAGGTATTTGCAGGCTCTGTTCCTTGGATCAGAGGATCCACATTAACAAAATCCACATTTGTAACAAGAAAACGTAACCTCTTTGCAAACTATTTGAGTTTGTCTTTTCCCGCATTTTAAACCATACTTTTAACTATTATTCCATTGTTATTTTGACTTTTTCTTTCCTCAGTAAAAAAAAAAAAGATCTTACTTGGTAGGTCTTAGGATCTGGAGGCTTTACTTACAGGAAAATTAATGCTTAGCAATGTTCTTGTCTGGCACCTAGATATTCATTTCTGCAGTTAAATACAGGTAAATGGGTCATGAGGCCTTTTTCTTTTTCCAGGTAGAACTGGAGATGCCAAGCAAATTCTATACTTCTGAAAGGAGCAGATCAGGCTAGTGTAGACAAATGAAATACCGGCAATCCCCAACCTGCTTCAGGAAATCACTTCAACTTCCTTCTCCAGGAAGAACATTTTTCAAGAGTCAGTTTGCAAAAGTCACGGGATGAATTGCAGCCGTGCTTTTTCTTGGTTACCCGTTACGTCCTGAATCTGCTGTTGCACTCACGAACCACTCTTGATTCTGTGTCCTGTGTACACTGGAGATGTGACATAGGACAGGAGTGCAGTGGGGAAGGGTCTCCTGGGCCAGGCTTACCCAGCTGGTCTTGGAACCCATTAGGAATGTGGGTCAGGCTGAGGTGAGCATGTTACCTCCTGGGGAATCCACCGCGGAGCACGCACTCCGGTGGACTCCACAGGGGAGATCCGTGAGAGTCTGGCAGGTGCGGCTGAGTTTTCTGTTCTAGATGCTACTTCTCTTCCTACTTCCTTGTCCCGCTCTTCCTTCCTCATCTCCTCTGAGGAAGCACGACCACACAGCTCCTAACAGGCTCTGACTGACACACCCTCACCTGCACAGCGCTCCAGCCTTGCCAGCCTCCTCGAATCACCTGACGCCTCCGCGTGGGCCCTTCCGCACATTGCTCCCCACCGTGTGGGTCCCACACCTGCAGACCTTGAAACGTGCTGTCGTTCCAGCGCGAAGGGGACCGGACCCTCTGAAGGCACACGGCCACCGAGACCCCCCTCGGTGTGTGCTCAGACGCCTGGGCCCTTGGAACCTGGTGCCCGTGTGGCCTGACTGATAAAGCACAGGGTTATCTCTTTTGTCGTGTGATAGAGATGGACTGCTCGTTTCACAGCTGTGGATTTTCCCCCTTCTGTCTCCTCAGAAATCGCAGGTGCTCCAGTGTCTGAAATTTCTGGGCCTTTCTCGACAGAGGACATAGCCAGTAACTGCGTCCCTGCCCTGCCTCTGAGCGAGCCCATTTTGTGGATCGTGTCCTACACTCTCATGAGCGTGTGTGGAATCATCCTTCTTACCTTAATCATCCTGCTGCTACTTCCGTTCCGGTGCCGGCATCTACCCCCAGATCCCGAGGTCGTCAATGATGAGTCCTCTCTCGTCCGGCATCGCTGGAAATGAAGAGAGAAGCCTAAACTCTAGCAACCTTGAACTCAAGGATTATGACAATTCAAGGGGCAGCAGGCAGGGGTTATAAGGCAAGGTTTCTTCCTGTGTCCATTAGTCTTAAGTCTCTGTTCTGCTCCCAGATGCCTTCCAGATTCACTGTATTTTGATTCTTGATTTTAAAGCTTCCGCCTACTCTCCTACTTCCAAGGAAAATGATAATAAAAGACACCTCATTCATAATCAAAACAGAGTGAATTGGGCTTCAGGCTTTATGTAGCTGGTTATGCCAAACTATCTAGGTGTGCCACCCCCCCACCCCCCAAAAGAAAGAAAAGGAAAGAAAAGAAAACCAAGAGCCTTGCTTTTTTGGCTTGTTCTCTTCTCCCTCCTCTCTCTGGAGAAATAAGTGCATATAGTTTATAACTCTTCTTAGCTAATGGGAAGCTTTTTGTATTAATCACATTTAAGGGTATTTTGTACCAGGCTCAGCCTGCGTCAACGTGGTACAAGAAGGCTCACAGTATGACTGCAGAAGAAGTCTGGGGCCTGATGGTCTAACCATCCTGCCCCCTTCTGAGTTGGAAAAAGAGCAGCGGCCCCTTTTCTGGGTCTCTCTGTGCTCTGACCGGGAGCTGGACTCTACTAGGGAGAGATGAGCACTCAAGTCTTCACCAGCCTCTTCTGAAGACGGAAGGCCTTCGAGTGGGAAGGAAACCTACTCTTTGTACTCAATACTTCCATAGTATTGTGGGTATAAAAGTAAGAACTACCTCTGTTGAGACTTTTTCCCAGGGTCCTGTGCCTGATGGGGGTACAGGCAGCCTGGTTCCAGCCGCTGCCCTCACCTTAAGAATCCTCTTTCCAGCAGGCGAGACCTTATAGGTGCTGAACCACACGTCAACCTGGAGACGTTCTGTCACCAAGCTGGTTACCGTCACATAAGCTTACTCTTACTTAAAATGAACAAACACTGTATTAAGGAGAAAAACAAATTCTCTTTCACTAGCTTAATTGTTTCTTTTTCAAATTCTCCTCTGAAGGTAGGTTGCTGATTATCCTTTTGGGGAATAGAGAAATGGCTAAATACCCATACTCCTGACCAGCTCTCCGAGGAAGGAAGGCACAAGACATGCAGAAGATGCTAGGGAATTTCTACTTTTTCCTGTGCTTTGGAACCATGTGCTTCTCTTTGCAGGACTCCCTAGGCTCGAGCACACCCATCTGAAACAGCTTAACCAAGTCCGTCAACAGTTGACCTACATGCGTCTTCCCTTTGGCGTGTTCAGTCTTTGGTGATGAGTTGGGTGTGCAGTGGTATCCTTATTTGGGGAAATCCACACTTGCTGTCATTTATTTGAGGGCTTTGGCAAAAGAAAAGCAGATGACTTTAACGTGATGTCATTTGAAGAAGGGTTTAAAGCCAATATCCCTTCTGTCACAGGGTGCCAAGTTCAGGGTTCCCTTTGCATTGCTATTGGGATGGTTTGGATATATACTACAACCCCATGGGAAGGGCTAACTGGCTGGAGTGTTATGTGTGTTCAAAATAGGCTTCCTATGGATGTTTCAGCCACCTGCCCTGCACACTGTCTCCCCAGGTCACCTCCATATTGAAAAATAGGTGACCATGCCAAAGAGATGTGGAGCCACTTATACATCTCTTGGTGTCCTCACAGACCCTCTAGAAGCCACAAGAATCTGTGGGATTCTTGTGAAGAAGGTTTGAGTTGTGTCTTAGAACATGGACCTTCTGTGTTCTTCAAGATTCATTCAGGCATGGCCGTGGTGGGAACGATGCCCTCTTGAAATGGGATGATAGGAGATTCTGTTATCAGAAGCTCATTATCATTTCCACTCTCAGCTAGTTGAGAGGTAATAATTTCAAAATACATTTCAGAGATAGAAACCTCTGGAATTCCAATTCTCTTTTTGCCCTCTTGGCTTTTTCATGGGTTCCTATTTTGTGGGCCACTTTACCTAGGTGTGAAGGCAACAACCCTAGACAGTGCCTTCCCCTTGGTGTGAAAAATCCAAACCCCTGAAATAAAAGGAGGGAATTGCAAGTATGACCCTGTTAGTTTTGCTACTTATTTCCTCACTCAGGCATCTTCTGTTTCATTTTCCCGTGTTCTGTTTCCAAGCTGGGGACCATTTCTCTAGTTGTAGACTCGCAGGCACTGTTCCCAAAACACTTGATAAGAGCAAGTTAGATTTCAAGCTTGGGTATTTGAATGAAATTTGCTATAATGCTCTGTATTTCCTATCAAATTTCTCTACCTTTTCATCTGAGATGTCATTGGATGTGACATTTTAATGGAAATGCTTAAATTACAAAAGCATAACTTAGCAACAAGAATGAAATAGATAGTTGAAAGTAGGACATTCTCCTGGCATACCTTGCTGCTGAAAATTGGACTTTGAGTCAAACCCTGTTAGTGACACTCAACTCCTCCAGTTATGTAAATTGATACTTAGCTTGGCAAACCTTCAAGGAGGCTTGCTTTGAACAGGAAAGGGGGTAGCAGTCCTCTGGGGGTGTCATTTTTACCTCACAGCACACTGTGGAAGGTTATGGAAGATGGTCCTCTCCAGAAAGACGAAAATTAGCCTTAGGTTTTTGTCAAAATCTTGTCAACTCTCTGATGGGACATGGATGTTTCTACATGAACAATGTTTTGTTTTTGTTTCTGTTTTTAATAGGCTGATGCTTTATAGTCTTGATAATTTATTCAGAAGCCTGAAGTGAAATCCTGTCTTCAGAAACTGAAACTTGATGAAAAATAGTAATGGATGGGGATTCATTCATTCTTTTCCTCTGGAAAAGAACAAGTGATTGGTGTCTGATCACTATGGCATTTACCATGGTGAACAATTCTGTATTTCTCATGAACCAAAAAAACAAGTACCTGGCATTAAAGAAACAGATTCCTTGTGTGTGACAACAAGGAAGGTCTCCCTGAACGCAGTCCACTCCCAAACTTCTGTAAGGATTTTTTTTTTTACCTGATTCTGTGTAACGCAGATGTTGAGGTCAGAGATGAATTTGGGGTCAATTACATTTCAAAACTATGAAAGTAACTCACAGTAATGCAGCATTAACAACTCCACAGAGCTTTGGGTAGTAGATTTTGCAAAGCAGTTTTGATTTGGGGATTCTGTCATCTCCTTTAAGAGGAGAGGAAGGATTATTTCTTTATTTAATAGGTTCTCCTCTCAAATGGAAATTGGTTAAATCCCTCTTACCAAGTCCCCACCAGTGGAGTTGCCAGGCATGGTTCAGTTCCAAGTTCTGGCCTAGGGCCACTTGATGTCATTGGAAATAAATCACTGCCCGACAGCCTGTTCCATAAACAACAATAATTGAGTTTCATAGACTTTATCCTTATTAGTAGAAACCAAATAATTGAGTGGAATTCCAGTGCATTTTTCTCTTGCACAAACTTACTAGAATTTATTACAGAACTGTTCAGAGGGAAAACTTGCCACTGAGTTTGTGTTTTTTTTTTTCTTTTTTAGGAAAAACAGCTAAACACCATAAAATGTAAAATTATGGGCTTTGCCAAGAGGGATACCAGATTTCTAGTGCAAAAAACCCTCCACACAACAGAAGTTATTGTGTACATTTCTAGTGGGTTTTCAGAATTTCAGATTTGAACTTATGGCAGTTTACCAATTAAATAGCAAGAGAGTGGGGAGGAAAAAATAAAAATAGAATCGAAAGTGTGCTAACAAAATAAGCAGAATTAGCTCTTTTGGAAAAGTAGCTTCAATTCCAGGAATCCTCAGATTCCTTTTACCCTTAAAGCTTTACCCTTAAAGTGATTTATTTCACACAGCCACAGCCCCCAAACTTCAAGAACATCCAGGCTGGAGTCATGTGTCAGATGTCAGCACGGAAACAGTGAGAAAAGGTGGCCCCTGACGCTTACACCGATCCCGGGGAAGACTGGGGCATCCAAGGAACACAGAGTAGGTGATGGTTGGGACTGGGAAAATTCTAGAACCTGGGAAGGGTGGTGGGGTAAGAAGTCGTGTCCCTTGGTCAGCAGATGACTGCAAAGGTCTGGACAAACTGAGAACAACACAGGATGTCGCAGGAAACTCATTTCCCTGAGTTTTTGGCACGGCCTACATTTTTAGGAATTTTCCAAGGGAACCCCTCAGGATGCATAATTTGTCAAAGAGAAACTTGCTTTGCGGCCATCACCTGTGTTCTAACAAAACTAGAGACACCTGAACTCCCAAGCAGGACGCTGTCCTTAGGCTGTAGGTTCAGGGTTGTGCCCTGGGAAGTTCATAGGGCAGGGGTCAAGAGTCTGGAGCCAAAGGGAGGTTGGCAGAGTTTGGGATCTGAGCATCTGGGGAGGCCTCCTGGCTGCAGCCACCCCGGTAGTTGCACTGAAAGCTGGAAAACTCAGATATGGCCATGTCCACCCAGCCCTGCTGGCCAGCCCACTGACTCAGAAAGAGTCCTGCAGCTTCTTGACCGTACTCCTTCTCTGGGGACACCTGCTGTCAGGTACACTTCCAGAAAGAAGGGCTTGAGGGCAGCAGAAGGCTCCCTTGGGGCACTGCTATGCCTACTGAGAGCCTGGGCACCAGCATCCTCGAGTCCACGCAGTCGCAGAGTGCACGCCAGCCCTCATCAGAACCGTGCAGCTCCGGGCTCCCTGGGAGACTTGGTGAGAATGCCTTCCCTGTGGGGAGAGGTGGGTGGCCAGTGGAAACAGCCTGATGCCCCAGGTCAGCAACCTTGTGAGATGTGGTCGTGAAAGCAAAGCCGGGCCTCCTGGTGATGCAGTCTGCAAAACCTCTAGTTAGTGGGATCGAGTAGGAGTGTCACAAGGACAAGATGTGACCAATCAGTACAGTGTTTTCCCCCCATCTCTCAGCTTTCTCTGGGTTTCCTATAATCAGATATTGCCTACAGACGTCCAGTGTTTGTAAACTACATTGTACTGTGTGACCTCACAGCACACGTGCTCTTAAAGGGCACCCAGTACCTAAAGGCTGGCAAGAGGCACATGAAGGTTCCAGATAAACTCAGATGCAGCCCACAGCAAGAGTGACCCCACAGCACCTGAGCTTTGGTGCTCAAGGGCCTCCATGTGTCCCATAAAGCCTTCGGGTACTTGCTGGGACACCACTGGCAGAGCGGTGATTCTGATGTGTCGAGCTAGCATCTCAGGATACGGGAGAGGGTGTGATGGTAAATCTCACCTCTAGATATCGGCTGGTCAGGGCTT